CTCAGTTCAGTGTTACCAGAAATTTTCTTATTATCAACCTAAATTTCTTTCAATGTAATTGCATATAAGCCTGTGAGTAGCTAAAGCATGAAAATATTTAGTGATCCGGTCCCCCTCTGTCAGCCATTTCTCCCTGGATTTTTGCCTCCACATCAATTCCTCTTCCTGCAGATATGAAGTCAATTGGAGCTTCGAAGTCCCTCTCCTACTAATTTACTCAACATTCAAACCTACAGCTTCCTCTTTAGAGTCCAGATCACTGATTTGAGCCAGAACAAAATCAAAAATTGCTTTATTATTCTCCCTCTCCTCCTTCGCCCAAATTTTAACAGCATTCTTCAGAATCTAAACAAATCTGTAACTAGCACAACCCTGAATGACGTTATTTTTCCAAGTGTTTTCCAATTGACCAAAGTTCTCCTTCAACCACTTATTATCTAACCGAAAAGGTATCGGACCCCACTGAATTCCGTCTGCCTCAATACAAATGGGATAATGATCTGATGTTGGCTGGGGCAGTGTTTTTTGGCTAACACTCATCAGATCTAACAGAAAGCAAAAAGAGAAAAAATCTGTCTATTCTGGAGTTACTCTTTTGATTAGACCACATCTATTGCCCCTTACTTAATGGTAAATCAGCCATCCCTAACCTCTCCATCGCCTCTTTAAATTCATTTGCTTCCGCGACCAAGAAATTGTTGCCGCTTCTCTTTTCCTTCCTCAATGTCATATTAAAATCACCACCAATAACCCATTTCTCATCCCAACTAATTCTGCATTCCTTAAAATCATTCCACAGCAAAGTTCTTTTCTCCCTATTGCCTCTACAGTAAAACCCGGTAAACATTCACTCAGTCCCCCCTTACTGTTTTTAAATATGCACGACAAGGAGCACTCCCCTTTGATAACCTTTACACAGCTAACCTACTCTTCCTTCCATAATACGATCAACCCACTAACAACCCCTTAGAAGGAAGAAAAAACCAACCCTTCTCCTTAACACTCCATAGGCTGTCAATAACTTCTTTGGAAAAAGCATCCATTTTGGAAAAAACAAACAACAGACGGGTTCGATTTTTTTAGACATCCTCTAATGATGAGCCATTTACCTTTGTTGTTCATCCCACGAACATTCCATGAAATAATTCTACCAATCATTCACAAATCGACTGAATCCCAGCAACTCCCCTACCAACTCCTTTCCTAGCATCATAATTTATAATCGCCTCTAGTCTTTTCAACTCCCTAGAAGAACCACCCCCTAATTTTTTCTTTTCTTTCAAACCAGACCCTGTTTCTTCTTCAACATTTTCCTCTTTTCGACTTCAAAAAAGAAAGATAAGAAAGATTTTCCATACCTATTAACAACACCCCCATCATCTTCCCAAACTTTTGAACATTATTGACAACCCACTGAGAGCAGAAATGTACTTCGCTAGCAAACAGTGTCACACCTTCCAAGCTCATCTCAATTATCTCCTCTAGTTCAGAGTTGTGCACAGATGCAATCGCCTATGCTTCTTCTTCCACCATGACCAGCTCGAGATTTTTCAACTCAAGTCTCCTCAACTTGAGCTTCATTCATCAACCTCCCATCTCCCTCGAAGTCCTCCATGTTAGAAAAGACCAAACATAATTCATCTTCATCCTTCTCACTAGTGAGCTCACCTACCCTGAAGCTCGCACCTCCCATCGAAGAGATTCCTTCATTTAACCCTAATTTCTCTACTTAATTTTCTGTTTCCCGACCTACCCGATATTCACCCCTTTTATCAAGGCTCTCGGATATATTTAATTCCTAGGTATCCAAATGCTCACCCCCGATCAAGATCCTCACATTCAGTGGACTCGGGTTAAAATTTGGGGCCCCAATGATATCTGTCCCTTCAATCCATTTCTCCTTTTCTTTCTAGGTATAATGTTTCTTCTCGCCTGGCCCATTCAGTTTAGGAAGCATCCAGCCCACATCCTCAAATGTACTAAGGCCCTTAAGACCTAAACGGCAGTTACCCTTCGTGTTTTGAGTACCCCGATTGTTTACCTGGATCTGTCTCCTTGGATCAACCCGATTTGACTCAACAACAGGTTTCCTCTGCCCTACCCGATTGCCCCTAGCAAGCTTGCAGCGCCGCCAAGTATGACTTTGGTCCCCCAACTTCCATCGCTATATCGATCAGCACGTTGCAATACGGACACTTAAAAAAGATACATTCCATGGCTGTTTAGACTGACCATCCTTCCTCTGTGGTTTTGCCATTTTAACTTCTTCACCATTTGCCATAGTCTTAGGCGCGCTTAAAGGCCTATCAATGAGCTCAAAAGTGGCCACCATTAATTTCCACCATCTTCTTCCCTACATACCTCCAGGAAAGAAAATCCTCCATTAATTTCCACCATCCTCTTCCCTACACACCTCCAGGAAAGAAAATCCTCTTTACCTGCCTATCTCCTTGCTGCGTTAAAGCCAAATATTCGCCCCTTCTGTTCCTTCCATATGACAATCCGAACTCATAGCTTCTCTGCACTAAATGCTTCATCCATGTCCCCGGCTTCCATCTCCACCAAAACTCATCAAGCGCATCCAAGAACGAGTTATATTCCTCTTTATTAAGAACAATCGAACGACAGAAACCCCTCCCATTTTCAGTAATCCATAGAATTCCCGATCTTTTCCCTTCACAAACCAAATCGTACGATTTGTTCTCAATAGCTAGATATCTTCTCCCAAAAAGAACTCATGAGAAAAAACCAATGAATAGTTGGCCAAATTGACTGACCAAAACCCCAAAGAACACAAAAAGACTAGAGAGAAAATTTTAGAGAGAGAGTCTACAATCACAATGACAATATCCCCTCTATCGTGTCCACCCAAGTGGCAAATCTAGTGTCTTATATAATTATCTTTTCCTACAAAGTCACTTAGAGAAGGGAGCGCTACCCAATATTTAAACCAACAGTCGAATACATTGTGGACTAGTAATCAGTATTATCTTGTTTCATCTCCTATAACATTACTATGTCCAGACTAACCCTCTAAAGACCTCTTTAACCTGTTTTCCTTTTAATACATTCCT